GATTGACCTATAGATTTAATGCAATTTTTAGGTCTTTGTAAACATAGACAAGATCATTCTAAAATCTGTATAGAAAGGCATGGAGCCGAGAATAGCTAAAATCATCTTTTAAAGAAGAGGAAAGCAGGAGGAACCAATTTACCTGATAGTAAAGCCTACTATACGGCTATAGTAATCAAGAATTGAGACAGTACGGTATGAGAGGAGAGAAAGACAACAATACCAATGGAACATAATAGACATCCAAGAAATATACCCAGAAAAATATGCCCAGCTGATTTTTGATAACGATGTAAAGGCAATTCAGTTTGGGGGAAAGATAGCCTTTTCAACAAGTGGTTCTGGAGCAATTGGACATCCTTGGGCAAACAAAATCAAACCTTGACCTAAGTCTTATACCTAAAATTAAAAAAAACAACAACAAAAAACCCCAGTAATAAAACCAAATACTGGTGAAATGTGGAGAAATTGCTAATGGGAATGTTTAAAATTTTACAACCACTCCTGAAAACTGATTGGCAGTTTCTCAAAAAACTATATATGCAACTGCTATGTAACCCAACAATTGTACTCTTGGGTATTTATCCCAGAGAAATTAAATCTTATGTTTACAAAAAAAAATTGAACACAAACATTCATAGCAATCTTATTCTTAATAGCCCCAAAGTGGAAACAACCTAGATGTCCTTCAATTGGTGAATGGCTAAATAAACTGTGGTACATCCATACTGTGGAATAATACTCAGCAGTAAAACAGAACAAAGATACATACAACAACCTGGATGAATCTCCAGAGAATTAGGCTGAATGAAAAAAGCCGATCCCAAAATGTTATACACTGTATGACTCTATTTACCTAACACTCTTAGAATTACAAAATTATAACGAAGAACGGATTAGTGGTTGCCAGGCATTAAGTAGGGGGTAGAGGTAGGAAAGAAATGGGTGTGACTATAAAAGGGCATCGGGGATCCTTGTGGAAATGTTCTGCATCCTGACTGTATAATGTCAATATCCTGGTTGTGATATTTTACTAGTTTTACAAGATGTTGCTACTGAGAGAAACTAGGTAAAGAGCATGTGGGCTGTGTGTTATTTCTTACAAGTGTGTGTGAATCTACAATTATTTCAAATAAAGAGTTTAATTATTAAAAGAAAAAAGAGGGCCGGCCGAGTGGCGCGTTGGTTAAGAGCTGGCTTGGGATGCCAGAGGGCCCCTGTTCGGATCTCACATATGAGGGCCAGTGACACTGCCCTCTACAGCTAAGATGCTGAACAACAGCTCAACCTGGAGCTGGGCTGCCATGAGTCGCCAGCGATGGCATAGGCTGCAGCCCCTGCTGCAGTGGGTTGCCATGGGCTACTGTGTGTAGCCAGCAGCCAGCGTGAGCGGCCAGCAGCCGCAGTGAGCGGCCGTCCAGCCGACGACTGATCTGCCTTGCCCAGGAAGAGCGCAATGATGGTGCCAACTTGGGCCAGTGAAGCAACGTCGTCCACAACTAGACTGAAGAACAAAAGGATAGCAACTTGTCTGTTCCCCTTCCCCCAATTCCCCAGCACGGTTCCCACCCCCCCAATTCCCCAATAAAAAACTTAAAAAAAAAAAAAAAAAGAACGAAAGAACAAAAACTTACCTTAAATGTTTTTCTTAAAGGTGGTAGTCAGACCAGTATATGACAGATAAAACTAAATTAAATTGAACAAGATAAATTGAACAAGATAAATGTAATGGGTAACTCATAAAACATAGGTTATATAGAATCAACAGACTTAGAAGATTGAAAGAATCTATCACGTAGGCAACAGGCTTGTAAATTGAAGACACATTAAAGTTCTAGAACAAATTCTTAAAAGTCTAAGCTAATTGCTTCACAAACAAGTTGTAAAATCCTCAGAATTCTATAGTAAAATAAACTTTGAAGTTGTTTGAAGAGTTTTTTTATGAACCAAGGTATACAGTGTGTTAAAGAAATGCAGCATTTTGAGACAAACTTCTGTAGTGCTAATCTGAATAGAAACGGACTAACATCTCTTTCAACTCATAGCTGATTTAGGCGACAGTCTATCAGTAATTCCTTCACATTTTTAGAGACCCTTGATAAATTAAAAAATTAAAAGCCATAAAAATATGGCTTAATCAGTTTCTATTTGAATCCTGACAATGGCTGGATGCTAAAACATTTCCCCAAAGATCAGGATGCAAGAAAGATGGGAAGGGATGAGGAATTTAATTCACCAGCGTTTGGTGATGTTAAGAGAACTGTAATAGTATGAAACAGGGCTAGGATTTTACAGGCAGAAATATCTAAATTCAAATCTAGGTTCTTCCACTTCTGTGGTCATATAATTTTGGGCAGTTTACATCTGAGTTTCAGTTTTCTCATCTGCAAAATGAGTGTACTGTCACCTATTTCAAAGAATTATAAAGGGCTTGGAACATAATAGTCACTTGCTAAATGGTAAGTGTTATCTTTATTCACCTGTACAAATATATTATAGGATAAATATAAAAAGTAGAATCATTGGGACACAGTATATGAGCGTATTTTATTCCAATAGAGACTGCCAAATTTATATATGTATATATATATATATATATATTTTTTTTTTTTTAAGATTTTATTGGGGAATTGAGGTAGGGAATTGTGCTGGGGAATTGGGGAAGGGGAACATTGTGTTTTTCCAGGACCCTTCAGCTCCAAGTCAAGCTGTTGTCCTTTAATCTTAGTTGTAGAGGGCACAAGCTCAACTCTAAGTCCAGTCGCCACTTTCAATCTAGTTGTGTGTGTGTGTATGTGTGTGTGTGTGTGGGGTGTTGGCGAAGCCCATCATCCCATGTAGGAGTCAAACCAGCAGCCTTGTTGTTAAGAGCACATGCTCTATCCCCTGAGCCACCCGGGCAGCTGCTCAGCTTAAGGTGCCCCCGTGTTCAACCTTAGTTGCGGGGGACTCCCAGTAACCTTGTTGTTAGGAGACCATGTTCTCACTAGCTGAGCCATCCTGCCACCTGTTGGCAGCTCAGCGGCAGCTCAGCTCAGGTGCAGTTCACTGGCCCATGTGGGAATCCAACCGGTGAATCCGTTGCTCAAAGCTCACGCCCTTAACCAACTGAGCTACTTGGCCGGCCCTTCTTTCCCTTTTTTAATGAAGTATTTTATCTCTAAAGCAACCATCGTAAAATGTATTGTCTTTAAAGTTAAATAGATAGATTTTGTTTTAGGGCTGTTTATATTTAAATGTTATCATCATTGAGGCAAGGAATGAAGGGAGAAGGGAGCAACTGTGATCTAGTACTTAGAAGAGTGCCTGGTTTATCATATGTTTGTTAATTAATGACAAATACATTCATAGAAAAATTAAAGAATACTGTTAAAATAAAATTAAATAAGAATGAGTAATATTTCTAAATGTCTAAAGAAAATAATTTTTTTAGGTGTTAGAGATCAGTTATTAGATTTAAATCATTTTATTTTATTTTTTCATATTTTTTTTAAGATTTTTATTGAGGAATTGGGGGAAGGGAATATTTTTAGGGAATTGGGGGAGGGGAACAGCCAAGTTGTTGTCCTTCAATCTTTGTTGTGGAGGATGCAGCAAGCTCAGCTCCAAGTCTAGTCGTGCGGCTCAGCTCAAGGTGCTGTGTTCAATTAGTTGTGGATGGGCATAGCCACCATCCCATGTGGGAGTCAAATCAGCAGCCTTGTTGTTAAGAGCGCGCACTCTATCCCCTGAGCCACCCGGGCCGCAGCTCAGCTCAAGGTGCTGAGTTCAGTCTTTTTGGTTGCGGGCGGGCATAGCTCACCATCTCGAACAGGCAATCTTGTTGTTAGGAGCATGTGCTCTTACCAGCTGAGCCACCCTGCCACCTGTTGGCAACTCAGCGGCAGCCCAGCTCTGGTGCAGCTCACTGGCCCATGTGAGAATCGAACTGGCGACCCTGTTGCTCAGAGCTCGTGCTCTTAACCAACTGGACCACTTGGCTGGCCCTCATTTATATTCTTTAAAGGCTGATTTATGGGCTTATATCATCTGCCTTTAAGTCTGAGAATTTCAACAGTGATGATGACTTCCACCCAACCCTTAGTATGTCGCCGGTTCAATTCCCACATGGGCCAGTGAGCTGCGCCTGAGCTGAGCTGCCAACAGGTGGCAGGATGACTCAGCTGGTAAAAGTATGTGCTCCTAACAACAAGGTTGCAGGTTTGACTCCCACATGGGATGGTGGGCTACACCCCCCCCCCGGCTCCTCCCCTGCGCAACTAAGATTGAACATGGCACCATGATCTGCCAACGGGCGGCCGGATGGCTCAGTGGTTAGAGCATGTGCTCTTAGCAACAAGGTTTCCTGTTCCATGTTCCACTGTGAGCTGCCCACGGGCAGCCAGATGGCAACTGGACTTAGAGCTGAGCTAGCTGCACCCTCCACAACTAAGACTGAAGGACAACAACTTGACTGTTCCCCTTCCCCAATTCCCCAACACTGTTCCCCTTCCCCAATTCCCCAATAAAATCTTTTTAAAAAGAATATAAATGATACTTTTAATGGACTATCTACTACTTGCTTTGCATTTTAAAAAATTTCCTACATTGATACTAAAATAACTATATGGGTAGGGCTTGATCCTGATGTTAGCCATTGTCTAAGCAAATGCAGCTAACACTGGAAATTGAATTCTCAAAAAAAAACAAAAAACAAAACACAAAACACTATTTATGAGTGTCTTTAATGTATTTACAAATATTCCAGGTAGCAAAAAAGCTCTTGGACACAAAATAGTATCAGAGATAGGAATCTGGAAATTTTGCATTAAAATTTTCATTAATGTTCCAGTTTCAAATATCTTAAAAATAATTAAAGTTAGTTTTCTCTTTGTAGAAGTTAGGAGGAAGAATAGATAAATTGACAGATTATGCAAAGAAAATTAGCTAAAAAATGTATTATAAATTCAAAATAAATGTTAAGAATTTCTTACCTTGTTTCTTTTTTTTTAATATTACAGTTCCAGAAGTTCAACAAGTACAGTTTTGATCCTTTTCTAAGGAATATAAACAACAAAATGTCCATCAGAATAAGGCAGGACCAAAATATGTCCAAATGTAGAAACATTTTAAGTGCAGAGGTTATAGAGCATGAAGACCAAGATCCTCCTTACCCAACACATTCAAAAACTGCAAGACTTACTAATAAAATCTGGCACCATAGTCTTGATATCACCACAACTGACAGCGTAGACACTAAGAAAAAGTCAGCCGATGGTGATCCTGGGAGCACCACAGTAAAGACTTCAGACACTGAGAATAATTTAGTCCGTGATTCTGCTGTCACCACAACAAATACTTCAAATACTAAAAATAATTTAAAGGAAAGACTACCCAGTGTATCTTTACCAAACATTGAAGGAGAATCATCACTGACTCAAAATGTAAATACATGTTGCCTTTCAAAATCATTAAGTCTTACTTCCCACATAGAAAATTTAAAACAATCAATTGTGCTCAAGTCAATTTTAAGTAAACATCTGCAAGACCTTTCAGATAAATTATTTTCTGAACTAGAAGTTCCTATGGACACCGAAGCAAGAAAGAACAGTCATAGTTCCCTACTTCTAAGTGTTCATGATAAACCGTCAAGTAGTTTGGAAGACAAAATATTTGAAAATGTCCAAGATTTGAATAGCTGGCTTTCAAAAAGAGACCTTTTAAATTCAAAGTCTCGTGCAAGTCCAATACTTGAAGACACTCCTACAGATTCGCTTTCAGAAGGTAGACCAGGAAATCCTCCAGAGGTAGGAAGGGAATTTGTCTCTGAAAAACACTTACAGGCTGGTGAGATGGCTTTTCCAATTAAAAAAAAGCATAGTTTCAAAAAGAAACATTTAGAAAGTGAAGTATCCAGCTCCAAACCAAGTTTCAATGGCACTGCACATGATTACATTATAACGCAAATATTCACTGCACCCATCTTCTCCGAATTGGAGATGGGAGTGGGAGAATCAAGAGAGACGCAGATGAACTGGCAGAATCAATATCCCACAGCTTTGGAGAGTTTATCTTCAAATATTCACACAGCCTCCGACTACGAAGAAAGTGATGATGAAATAGAATTGCCAGAGGCCAAATCTGTGATAAGCCAGATAATACAAGCATTTCCTATAGATACTCTTTTAGAATCTGGGATAATCAAAGTGACAGAATTAGATAAAGAATACCAGAAGAGTTCTTTGCTGGATATAGGGACAGCCTTTGTGAAAGAAAAGCCAAAGGACTCCACAGAGGATGACTCAGAAATTAAAAGCAAAACAAATTCTCTTTCAAAGCAGAATATACCCATTATTCCCAAAGAAGCCAGTGCTTTTTTAAATAGAGTTGAATTTATAGACAACAGCCAAAATATATCCCCACTAAATTCAAAATATCAGTCTGCCTCAGATGAAAAAACAGACTTGCCAAGTAATGGTCAGAGTCTCGATAGAGAAGAAAATGATCTAAATTCTACCTTAGAAAATTTAAGTAACTTGTTAATGGGTACTCTTAATGCATCAGATGCAACAATGTTAAAATCTTTTTTAAAAAACATATTTAGTGTTTTTTTCATATATAATCAATCTGAAAGAAGAAGACAGCCAGAAGAAGAGTTAGAAAGATTAATTCAACATCCTTTTCCAAATAATACAGAAGACCTTGAAGAAATCAAAGAGAATTTTGATAAAGCAGACCTATTAGACAGAAAACCTAGTTTGAGTCCAAAACTGCGTGTATTTCTAGAAGAACTCTCAGAATCAGAAATAAAAAATCTAAAATCTGAATTAAGTAAACATGTCCAGCATTACCTTGTAGAAAGACTTTCAGAATCAGGATATATCACCAGAGAGGACTTACCAAAAATCTATCAAAATCTGTATTTGATGAATGAGGAAGCAGAACCAAAAGGGCAAAATGTTTTTCTGGAGGAATATTCAGAAACTGTGAAAGAAACCATGTCTTTTGTAAATAATTTTAATCATCACTTCATAGATAAACATTTGGAAATAAAGCTAAGGTCTTTTTTAAATGAAATTCTCCAAAACTATTTCCTAAAAAACGTTTCAGAAAGCCGTTTATTTAAAGAGACAGAATCTGAACCTATACACTCAAACATATCTTCTCTAAGAACCGAAACTTTTTTAATACCTTTTCACAAGTTAGGACAAGATGTTTCAAAGGGGAGTTTTGTTAGAAGGACTGAAGTAAACATGAAATATCCTTCAAATGAATCTCTGCAAAACTATCTTCTATCTTTATCAGAAAATGAAGTACTGAATCTAAAAGCTGAGTTAAGCAAACACCTGCAGAAACTTTTTATAGAAAAACTTTCAAAATCAGGACTAATCAGTGAAAGGCAATTAGAGGGAATCAGCCACCATATAAATTTGATTAATTCGAGTTCCACACCATTAAAATATTTAAAGCCAGATTTATCTTTTAGAGATGAGAATGAATTTATGGAGGAGCATTCAGAAAAGCAAAATAAGTATTCAAAAATTATTCATAAAACCACTTTACAAAAGGTTCCTGAGAATAGACTTGTAGAAACAGAATTGACCAGAAAGGAAGAAAAGAATATTAAAGAAAATACATCAATAGTTAGAGGACAGAAAAGATATTATCCTAAAGAAGGAGCTAACACACTGACTCTAATTAAAGTACAAACTTCTTCCAACAAAACTACCCAGGCAATTCCATTAAAGAAGTCATCAGAAAGACTTACAGATACAGTGCTTAAGAAAGAAAGGAAAGAGCATGGTTTCATGCAGCTTCCTCAAGCAGAACATTTTAAAACAGAGATTCAAGACCTACATAGTTGGAATGGTAAATCAAAAATAACTCCATCAAATACTTGCTTTGAAAGGACACTAAAAATGAAGTCCCTTGAAAAAAAGGAGTATAATGATATCTATAAGTTTGTATTACAGGAAAAACCTGAAGTGCTGTCACCATATCCAAGAATCCCATATTGCAAAATGCCAAATGAAGATGATGAATACATAAATAAATTCACTTTTCCTTCCAGGCAGAATAACAGTTTAACTTATTTCAGTTCAGAGGCTGGGGAGAACTCAGAAGACCAATATTATCAGAGATTGAAAGGCTATAATAACAATAGTAAAAAACAACATTTAGTAACATCTTCACATTACAAAAAGGAAATACAAGCTCTTCATATAAAACCAAGTGACATTTGCAATGAAAAATGGGCCAAGGTCTTTGAATCACAATCGTTTAAAAATAAAGTTATGGAAGCTGAAAAGAGCTCAAAACCGTCCCTCTTCCCAGAAGTATTAAAGAGTGAAAATCTAAAGCCGAAGTTCCAAAAAGAAAGAGACCATGTCAGCAAGCAAAATAAGTCATTTAACAAGATAGTTGAGATACTACCAACGACACCACCCACCACGAGAATTCTAAGGAAATCAATTCCAAGGACATTGCTTCATTGGACTGCAAGAAGAACTATACATGTAATAATGTTTTCTAAATCTTCTACCTCTGTATCATGCAAAGTTCTGTAAATAATTCCCATTAGAGTATATATGTCTGCATGCAAGTGTGTGTGTAACCTTCATTGCCCCGAGATGTACAGATCTCCAAATTAAAATTCTTCTGACATTCAAATCACCTTACCTGATTCAAAGTACAATCACAAAATCAGGGGCCTGTTCACATGCTTAGTACCTCTGTATAAAATAGATAAAGGGCACCCGCTCTGGAGTATAAATTAGAAAAAGGCACCCTTTCCTCTGGGAAGATTCTGCAGGATGACCCAGCCTGGAGCCAGGGCACACAGCCTCCGACTATGGAAAACAGCCTGGATTTCAGCCCGGACTCACCCCTCACTCAGCCAGGGGCTGTTGTACAGGCAACAACCTGCACAACCGTTGGCAGTGTCTGTATACTATGGGAACATAGCTGGGATTTTCTTTATGTATATTCATAAGTATATGGTCTTTTTGTCAGGTAGCTGAATTATCTTTTTTTCCATAAACAAAGATTATCGTGCCAATTCTGCTAAGGATTAGGGTATGCAAAATTTATAATCTATTGGATTATGAATTGCAAAATTTTTATTTAACTTCTGCTCTTCTTTTACCACCACCCTACTGCTATATCAAGTGTGCTGACAAACTTGGGAATTCAAATCTGTTTTTAATATTTCATAAAACAGGAAGGCAAATCAGCTACTAGACTTTATAAAAAACCACTCCAAAAAAAGTTAAAATCTAGGAATGGAAGGGACTTATTTTAATTTTCTGGACCACTGCTCTTATCTGTTAGTATCTATAAATGAGCACGACCTACATTTGGGAAAATTTATACATTCTAAAATGATATTGATAATTTGATTGTGTAGTTCGACCTTTGAATGAGAAAATAGGTCTAATTTCAGAATAGTTGCTTTGGTTTTTCCACAGTAAAACAAATATTTAGCATTAGTAAATAGTAAAACAAATTAGTAGCCCGGTAAATATCAATACAACTTATACTCTCAGCTTTGGATTTCTCTTTTCTATCTAAATTTAGTGATTTAATATTGAGTGAGTGTGCACACACTAGGAATAAGGAAGATGAGTTCATAGTTTTTGGAAAGGAAAGACTTTCTGAAGTTCCTTTAGACAAATGGAATTCTTCCTATCACTTTTTCAAGCAAAACAAGAAACAATGTCTATGTTGTATGGTATGAGATCATATAGGGACTCAGAACCACATAGGGTCTTAGAACCCTTCTCCTAAGAGTGTGAGATAGAGTCATCTTTATTTCCCTCTGTTAAAGGGTACTTAAACTTTTCTCTCTAGTGACATTGACAACAGAGAAATGCATGGTAAGAGGGAATTTTTCAGATCATCAGAAAGACTTGCTCATGATTCTCTAAAATCCAAGAATCTTCCAAGGGAATCAAAACAGAAGACTGAGAAACAGTTTAGGAGTATTCAGAAAAATAACCAGTGGTGTGGGTCTCCATGTACTCCCACTGGCTCTCTGGCAACCAGTTAGATCAACTGTGAAGCAAAACGTGTATATTACTCACCAGTGTAGCAGAAATTCCCTTAATAATGTGGCTTACCTATTGCTCCATGTATGTAAGAGGGAAGAAGGAGAATGTTTCCTTGCCCTCTGCGAACCCAGGCAAAAATGTTAAGTAGGTCAAATTTGTGTTTAGACTCTTCATACCTCCTTTTTTGTAAATCTCTTTGTTGCTGTCTAATTCTCAGTCCTGCCCAACCTCTCCCAACCCTCCCATTCTAATAATCCACTTCCACTTTCCCAGCAAAGGAAAGCAGCACATTCCTTTGGTGTAGCCATCTCTATTAAGGGACAGGCTGCTCAAACTGCAAAGGAAACTATCGGGTTGTCGGAAAAGTCATGACGCATGTTTGCAACAGATGGCACTACTTCATTTTTGGAAGTACTAGAGTCATTCGCATCTATGTTATTGCTATGTCATTTGACAGCTGACAGTTCTACCTTAATTCTTAAAAAAAAAGAGCAATTTGATTGAGTTTTGGAGATTTTACAAGTTGAAGATGGAGGACCAAACTGTGCATTTTTGCTGTATTTTACTGTTTTACTTCCATAAAGGGAAGAACGCGCTTCAAGCTTGTGAAAAGTTGCATAAAGTTTACGGTGACAATGAACATCAGTGCCAAGGATGGTTCATGAAATTCCATGCTGGTGATTTTGATCTTAATGATGCTCCTTGGTCAGGGAGGCCCACCGAGGTTGATGACGACAAAATAAAGGCATTCATCAAGTCCATGTTACATGACAGGAGAGATTGCATAAATGTTGAACATCCATCATTCAAGCATTCACGACCACCTGAAGAAACTGGGATACATAAGCAAGCTCGATATTTGTGTTCCGCATGAACTCAAAGAAGTTCATTTGACGGCATGTATAAACATCTGCAATATGCTCATTAAACGTGAGCAAAACGATCCTTTTTTGAAGTGACTGATAACTGGTGATGAGAAGTGGATTGTTTACAACAATGTGGTGTGCAAACGGTCTTGGTCCCAATGTGATGATTTGCCTCAAACGACATTGAAAGCAGACATTCATCAGAGAAAGGTTATGCTCTCAGTGTGGTGGGATTTTAAAGGTATCATGTTTTTCCAGCTCCTACCAAGGAACCAAACAATCAATTCGAATGTGTACTGTCGGCAATTGGACAGTTTGAATGAATCCATCATCCAGAAACGTTCAGAGCTTGTTAATTGTAAAGGAGTTGTGTTTCATCGTGACAACACGAGACCACACACAAGTTTGATCACCCATCAAAAAGTATTGGAGCTTGGATGGGATGTGTTGCCACACCCACCATACTCGCTTGACCTTGTGCCATCAGACTTCCACTTATTTCACTCTCTTCAAAACTCCTTGCATGGTATAACATTCAATTCAAATGAGGCTGTAAATCAGCACCTTGTTCAGTTTTTCGCAAATAAAGACAGGTCTTTCTATGAATGAGCAATTATGAAGCTCACTGAAAGATGGCAAAAGGTTATCGAACAAAACGGGCAACATATCATTGATTGATCTTTGTTCTTTATATAAATAAATGACCTTTGAAAAACATAGACAAAATACGTCATGACTTTTCCGACAACCCAATAGTTTATACTAATTTGAGAATGACTAACTGCTCCATACCCTTTTAGGAGGTATTTATAGATTATTATATTTTTATTGTAAAATATAATATTAAAAAATTGAAAAAAGGACAAAAAGGAAAACAGCCCATCATCTCACCATCCTAACACAGCCACCATTTTAAAACTATTTTGGTGTATAGGCCTCCAGTTATTTCCCTGAATGTTTTCCATGTATACTCTCAGAATGTACACACAATTTTTTATTATTTTCATATAAACATTATAAACATTCTTAGATGCTGGGCACTTTCTAAAGGTGTTTATTAATTTCTAAGGAATGAAAGTTTGGATGATATAAAAAATAAAATGTAAGAGTTCATAATTTTGTACTTGGGATTGAGGAAGATGTATTTTGGAGAATAGTCATAGAACAGGCTGGCCGGTTTGCCTAGGAATCTGACCCCTGAGGATAAGATAGCTCCCCAGAATTTTCCTGGTTTCCAGCTTTATATCTTCTTCTGATATATCTTTTTGAATATATAAGATCCTTTGAAACAATAAGATTTTTTTTAAAGCAGCTTCTACAGTAGTTTCTAATGGGAGACATTGAGTGTAGGTTCTGATTTGGGGAACTACCTATACATTTGATGCTCTCAATCTTTGTCTTGAACTGTTGATGATATTACAAACTTTAGTCCTTTTACATTTAAAATCTATACCTTTAAGAAACCTAACTCACCAACCTGATTTTTTATTTTAATATTTAGGATTGTTTGGATAGATTTGAGGATTTACATGTGACCTCATTTCAGCATCTTGAAAAAGCAAAATCAAGAGGGATTCTTTTAGGAAGGAGCCCAAACGATAGCCATAATCAATTAAAACACTCTGCAAGACCGTATACTGCTCCAGAGGTCCAACAGCGAGAAGGCTACACTGGAAAATTGACAAGTCCTCGAATGGTTTCAGCAGGCTTAGTTCATTTACATGAAACAATCCCAGATTATGAAATCCAAAAAATGTGGCCAAAAAACAATTGAGAGAAAATGTTGAAAAATGTTTGCTCACTTGTGATGCTATCCAATTGTTAAACAGTTCAGAATGATATGTGAGGCCAACAGCCAGGCTATCATTTCTCCAATTAACAAAATGGTTTAGAGATCTGCCTTTTCGTGTGATAGAAGTCAGCAACCAAATGTCTTGTTAGAACCATTTTGTTTTAATTAAAATGAAAAAGAAACTTTTTGATGTAAATGTGTTTTTATGAACCATAAGGAACAAACCCAGAAATACATACACAGTTCATATGCACTAATAAAGTTTTTTCCCAGCTTTTCCTCTTTTTCACTTATCACTCCAATTCGTGGTCCTCTGATTTCCCAAATCTTTGTTATGCTCTAAATTATTCCTGTCCACCCACTTTTCTGGTTCTCTACTTGCAGTTGTTTTAGCCTTTTGTTATGAATATACTTTTACTCTTCAGCTCTAGTTGTTTCTAGATTCAACAGAATGCAATTCTCTGGGCCTATAGAACTTCTGTTAAGTTTAATATCATTGTATATTATAACTTTTTACACTATAAAGATACTATAAAGAACAGATTTAATATTAATTCCTGAGGTATCACCTACACTGAAGTGACTTTCAAACTTACTTGAAAAACTATGTAAGGGCCTCTTTAATAACACGAAACTCAAGAAGCTGCATAAAATTGTAGAAACTGCATAAAAAATTATCTAACTAAATCAACCCAGGATTTAAATCAGAGACTTCTGAGAATTGGTTCCGTTCCTATCAAGTACATTATTTGGATCTTGAACTTTGGTTCACTCTTGAGAAGCAAAAACTTCAATTTATAGAATTTTTGTCAGTTTCAATTTTTCTCCCATAAACCATAAAGCCTATGAGGTTTAAATAGATTGGCTGAAGGAAAATATAATTCCTGATCATTCGTTTAATGGTATAATCAAGGTAGTAATTTTTTTTTTGAGACCAAATATTTCTAGTAATCCTCAAAGTTGTCTGTAGTTTTATCAGTCAGAGTATAATTGGGAAAACACAGAAGGAACACAGGGAATTGGTTTCATGGGTAATGGATCCAAGGCTAAGAAACCAAAAGGGGTGGTGAGGCTATCCAGAGATTAGCAGGAGCAGGAAGTGCGACCACCCACCGAGACGGAAGAGACAGCAGGAGCAAGTGGTGTTACCCGAGTCCTAAAGCCCAAAGACCAAGAAGATAGTGTCACTGCAGGGACACTGCAAGAAAGAGGTAAGTGGGGCAAAGGGTGAGAAGTGCCATGTTTCTTCTGTCTCTCCTGTCCTCTCCTCTTCCACTGTTGCCTCCCTGGAAACCAGAGAGGGTGCGTGGGAAATGTAGTTCCCAGTGAACTACAGCTGAGCCGGGGAATAGTGGAGAAATGGATTTAAAAGCTAACAGGCAATTGACCAGCAGTACTTAGGAAGAAAACCACTGATCTGCCTTGCAGTAAAGGAGGCAATATTTACTGGTAGGAAATCTCAAATCCCTTTGCCTCATTAAACTTTTAATAGCAATACTGTGACAGAGTTAAAATTTTCCTACCATAGAAATATCTCAAATTTTCAAGTATTTAAAAAAAATTTTTTTTTAAATCTCATACCCTTTACTCAAGGTTGAACTCTATTAAATATCCATAATATGCCTAACGCTTTGCTAAACATAGTGATTAAGACAATATTCTCAAGGAGTCCACCATCTATTGGTGCCATAAACACAGAATTGTTTGGGGAAAGTACTATATATAGGAGCTCACAGGAGGGTATTTTAGCTGAGGTGACTGTGTTATCTTGGGTCCTTCAAAAAGAAGACACCGAGATGATTAGACATGAGTGGTAGGCAAAATAATCATCCCCAAACATACCCACATCCTAATCCCAGGAACCTGTGAATATATTACTTTATCTGGGAAAAGGGACTGCAGCTGTGATTAAGGATTTTGAGATGGGGAGATTATCCTGGATTATCTGGGTAGGACCAATGTAATCACAAGGGTGGGAGTCAGAGGAGATTTGATCACTGAAACAGAAGGAACAATGCTGGCCCATGAAGCAAAGGGAGGCAGGCAACCCCTAGAAGCCTCCAGAAGGAACATAGCTTTGCCAACCCATTTTAAACTTCTGACCTCCACAACTATGAAATAATAAATTTGTTATTTCAAGCCACTAAGTTTGTGGTAATCTATTATAACAGCAATAGAAAATGAATACAGCAAGCAAGGATCCTATGGTACAAAATTTAAGACACTCTCAGGATGAGGCTGTCAGTCAAGTACAGTATCTACTGTGATGGTTAATTTCATATGTCAACTTGACTGGGCCACAGGGTGCCCAGATATTTGGTCAAACATTCTGGGTATTTCTGTGAGGATGTTTTGGGGTGAAACTAATATCTGAATCTGTAAACTGACTAAAGTGGATTTCCACATTGATATGGGTGGGTCTCACCAGTCCAAGGCCTAAAAAGGCTGATACTCACCCAAGTATGAGAATTCCTCCTGCCTGCCTGCCTTCAAACTGGGATATCAGCTTTTTCCTGCCTTTGACTCAAACTGAAATATCAGCTCTTCCTGTCTTCAGACCGCCAGCCCCCGGACTAGAACACCATTGGTTCTCTTGGGTCTCCAGTTTGCCCACTCGCCTTGCAGATCTTGGGTCTTGTTGGCCTCCATAAGCATGTGGGCCAGTGCCTTGTAATAAATCTCCTACTGTTTCTGTTTCTGTGGACAACCATAATACACTCACGAGAGATCTGAGAGGCAATGTTTCGTGGTCTCCACAGTCCACCTTTGGCACTACCAACACTCCACACAGATTTGGGAGAACCTCCTCTATGGTTCCTGTGAGCCTCTCTTGGTGAAGGGAAATTTAGGAGCTTAGTGAAATACTATAGCCCCTTCCACTACAGGTGATCTCAGGGCCTCAACTAGTATTCATCTCCTCTCCCTCCTCCACCGTGGCAGGTCTTAGTGGCTTAATAAGAGCGTACAGATGAAGAAAAATCTAACTGAGGTAGGTCCCAATTTACCACAGTTGAAACTACATACTCTTTTTGAGACACAGCATCTCTCTTTTGCTAATAAGGTAATAACATGAATTAAGATCTCTATGTCCTTACATGTTATATCACCTACAGGAACAAGAATAATCATATATAGGGCCAGAACATATTCTGACTCCACTGAATCAAATACTAGGATGCCCCCAATCCAATAGGTTATGTAAACAAATCAGTTTGCAAAACAGCTTTCCTTGGCTAAAAAATAAATTAGAATCTCTGTTTTAGTTTTGTCAAACCACACAAAATAAATAAAAGCATAAGCTCAATTCAATAAATTTTTATTGAGCTCCCACAGGGTGCATGAATTTAGGATCTTTAGTTTACAGAAGTAGAAAAGTGTTACTTTAGCCCTTAAAAAAAAAAAAAAAGCAAATCACAACTTCTCTACATATTTCAAGTGAATCATTTAATGTGAGTGAGGCTCAGTTTGATGTTACTATACATGTTAACAGAAGAAAATGGCAAATCATAAACATTTTCCCTGCTACCAAAAAAGGATTTGATGCCCAGATAAACCAGCCTGTTGGTCTAACAAGAGCTGATGAAAAGGGCTAGAGACCCGGAGTAAAACATGGACTTGGAAGCCTGTCCTTTGAGGGCTCATTCTCCTGAGGGCAACAAAATGCTGAAAAAATGAACTGGCTCAAAAATTATATTGAGAAATCAAGAAGAGGAGTTAATCACAGTTTTGGGGGGGAAATGTGAAAATAGAGGACATTAAATGTAGCTAGATTAATAACTCTAAAGTTCCCCTGGAGTTGTAATAGCACTCTGAGCGAACCAAAGGGGCTGTAAACTCATGCTCCTTTGAACAGAGTGGTTTAAAACGATAGATTCTCCAGTGCAACTGTATTTTCAAGTATAATTCTAGTGTTTGTACCTAGCAATACAGAAGAAAAAGCAGCAGGGAGAAAGTGTCAAGTATATAGGACATAAAAGGATTTGGCAGCCCTAGAATTCCCAGTTTGAGTCTTTTTCATCAGGAAAATCACGTTCTGGCTCAGTCCAAGGTGACGCTGGAGGCAGTGCTACTGATGGCTTGTGATAAGCAGGAGGCAACAGTGAGAGTATTGAATCCTGGCTTTCTTCTTTCATCTGTTAAAGAAACTCAAAATAAGGCTGTTGGCACATGAATTCAATACATTAGTTTTGTTAGCAATAAGTAACTTTTTAAAAAATCACATTAAAAGTGTTTAAAATTATTTTTAGGTATTTTCACTAAAAATGCCTTTGATTCTGGTCACCTGAAAACAGGAAGAAGTGACAGCCAAAAAAACCTGAATTTTATCAGAATTATTTTTCCCTTGATACAGAAAACTAAAATGCCTCTAAGTTAATCAAAATATAAACTGGGAATATAGTAACATATGATAATATTCCATTGGTTTTTACTCATTTTGTTTTGCAGAATGAACATTTTTAAAAAGTCTGTAACTGAATTACCAAAAAAGTTTTCTTGTTTTGTAAGAATGTTATTAAGAACCTTGGCAACCAAACTGTCCCATTAAGCCAACAAAATGAAGTGACTTTTTAATAGTATTTAAAAACATCTAGACAACAGAAGATAGATCAGCTCACCTGTTTGAAGAAAACATGGGACAATAAACTGCTTGCTGATGGCCTGAAAAATTTTTTTAAAGTCATATAAAGGAAGGACTTCATATTAGAATGTAGATTTTTAGGTATAAAAATATATTGGAAATTAGGTTTAGAGCTATAAAACCCAATACTAAAAAAAGGAAAACTAATACATGTCAAGAAAACCCAATTCTTAGTCTCATCCTTGATTAACGGGAATAATTAATTCTAGAGATATCCTTTAATTAGTATATAACTCAACATTTATTGGGCACTTACTAATTATAAGGAGCTTATGCTGGGCATTAAGGGGCAAAAATTAGATAAGACATATATATACACCTTATTTCCAAAATACAAATGCTAATATATATTATCCATGTTAATTTATACTATTATAATAGCAGCAACCAATATTTGTGTACTGCTTGGAAGTTTCTAAATTGTCTTAACATAAATGCAGTTATTAATGTCCAAAGAGATTAACAGATTTTTACAAAGTGACTTGGTTAGGAAATGAAATAGCTAAGACTGGAGCCCAAGTCTTTTGCCTTGAAACCAGTATTCTTCCCATTTGCTCACTGCCTCTACGTGTTCTTAGCATTGTTGATATTGTCTGGATTAGACTATAA